GAGGCCGGGCGGCTAACTGAGCTTGAGGCCGGGCGGCTAACTGAGCTTGAGGCCGGGCGGCTAACTGAGCTTGAGGCCGGGCGGCTAACTGAGCTACAGGCTGCTGTGTAGGTGACACTGGAAACTGGGTTGAAGGTAGCTGAGCAGTAGACTGAACAGGCGATAAGCAGTCATTGTCCTTTGCCGTACAGAACATAACCCCTGAGTAAACAGTCCCACAGTTCAAACCAATACTATTGTCCTGTCCACTCACCACAGCCGGCCGCTCTGAAATCCCTAGGTCCGACTGTGGTGAGGAGCGTTGACGGCGTGAGCGCCGTTTCCCTTGTGAAGGCTGTGTTGACAGGCCGGGCAGAGAATCCTCCATCAGGACAGGCAGCGAAGCATGAGTTGCAGGGTGGGTGGTAGCAACCAGGGGGTGAAGACAAAGTTCGTTCAGAACAAAATTCTATGCGAGCGGATGAAGTGAGCTGAGCAACCAGGGAGACCAGAAACTAAGCGCTGCAGCCGATTAGCTATGGCCTGACGGAATTCTCTCCCCTCGTGCTCCAGCCATAATTTGATTAATTTATCCACAGAGTTAATAATATCCCCCCCGAAGCTCCTCGGTCGGGTTGAATGCTGCTGGGTCCATTGTGGCCGGTTCGTACTGTCACGGCTGCCGAGGTGAGCCGTGTGATATTGGAGGGAGAAAGGACCCAAAATGCAGGCAGTAGATGATAATGCTAGTGATGTTTATTTACAAAGTGGCGTAGTGGCAAAACAGGCAATGAGGGATGACAAAACTAAAGAAACCTAAACTGGGAAAACTAAACAACAAACCTTAAATGATACCAAACGGGGTGAGAGGCAGAGAGACGAGGAACAGGGCACCGTGGAACACAGACACACCGGCAACACGCAGGAGAACACACAGGGCTAAAATACACACAGCAGTAATCAGGGGATGAGAGACAGGAGGGCAACACACCTGGGAGAAATCAGAGCTGACGGGACAGGGGAAACGTAAACTGAACACACTCACATGAGACGGGGACCTTCAGAATAAAACAGGAAACTCAGACACAGAAAACCAGACAAGGCACTGAACTAAAAAGACAGGTTCACAAACAGACAGTGTGACACCATAGACAGGCAGAACACAGAAGTGGGATCAGGGCAGGCACAGAACAGAAACCTAACAAATGGCAAATCATAACAGAATACATACTCAGAATAAACAAACGCATAAAGAAACACAAAACCCTGAATCGGCAGGCTCAGGACCATGACACTATGTATGTATGTGGTTTTATGTCACGACGGCCAATACAGGTTAAAGGACTCAGGTGCAGACACCACTCTGAAGCTCGGAGGATGAGCAAAAAGCAAGATTTTATTTCAGCAAGCGAAGGTGACACAGGGGAAAATAGTTAAAGGCAAAAACACTAAACAAGAACAAAAGGCGAGAGGAATAAATCTAACCTCAGGAGTTACTCAAACTAAAAACTAACGTGATGCTACAAACTCAGGGGACTAAGAAAGTGAGATTAAACACACTCTATGGCAGGTAAGAAACTCAGTCACTCTTGGTGGCGCTGTCACTTGGTGTTCGCTCTCTCTGCGGTAGAGTATCACTTCCAGTTCCTGCTCAAACACAGTGATGTTTTTGAGTAGCTTATCTGCTTAGCAATTTAATTAAAAACTTTAAATACATTCTTTTTCATAGTATAATCTTCATGTGTTTCATCCGAAGCACACTTTCTGTGTACTCACTACCTAATTTATAGCCAAAGTTTTCACTCACTGTGTCTGTACTGTTTTGCTAGCTTAGCTCGTAGCCGACTCGCTACCACCATGGCTACTTCACCTGTCCCTTCTGCACTTTCCTGCTTATTGTGTCAGATGTTTAGTTACTCCTCGGCCTCCTTTAGCAGTAATGATACTTGTAACAAATGTAGCATATTTGCAGCTCTGGAGGCCAGGATTACTGAATTGGAGACTCGGCTTCGCACCTTTCATTCACCTGTAGCTACCCAGGCCCCTGTAGCTGGTGCAGCCGAAGATAGCGTAGGCCCCGCTAGCTGTTCCCCGGCAGACCCTAAGCAGCTGGGGAAAGAGGGCGGCTGGGTGACGGTGAGGAGGAAGCATAGTCAGAGACTTCATCATTTCTTCACTACCAGACACACTGGACCCACTACAGTTCGCTTACCGTCCAAATCGTTCCACAGACGATGCCATCTCTCATCTCCTCCACACATCACTCACTCACTTGGACACTAGAAGGGGGAATTATGTTAAAATGCTCTTCATAGAC